AGGGGCCAGCAGGAAGGCAGGTGGGGAGAAACAGCTGAAGTTATAAAGGAAGGGCTAGGATGTCTGCGCCCCACCAAGTGACACCTGTCCAGCCCTATTCCTTGGGGATACTGACAAAATGGATGTGGACAGGCAATTTGCCTGCAGGTGTATTTCAGCCAAGCTGAATCCTGGAAGGTGAGCATCTGAAGATAGGCAGTATAAATAAAGGCTTCTGTTTCTAAATAACAAAATTAATACTCTAGTCAAATTTATCTGCAGTTATGGCCATAGTAATCATGATCTATTTCATTGTTTAAGTTACTTTCATTTTCAATATTAGACAGCTGGGGTTTATCAAGCCATCATCAGCCAAAAAAGGAATTAGCTGCAGTAATACACCCAATTTAGAACTAAATTCCAACTTTTTAAAAATTCCCTGATTTATCAAAAGTACATTTTATCCATTTAGGCAAGAACACCATAACTGTAACTCGATCTTTGACTCAATACCTTCAGCAAAAGTTTATTATCTTATATGAAAGTGAGAAATCACGTGTCACAACTTTAAATCAGACAGGAACTTTTGGTATGTTCTTAAAATTATATAAAAATAGTTTCAGTGATAAAATGCATTGGTCCCCTGGATTTCATAAAGCAGATCTGGTAGGCTTAGAAATGGCCAAAAAAAAAAAAAAAAGTACCTGATCATAGAGCTAGAGATGAAACAGGAAATATAACACAATTATAAAAACAAACCTCTCAAACTCATTCACTTGCTTTGATGAAATCATGGTAACTACAGAAAAAACTCAAATTTGGAGTCAAAATATTAACCTCTAAGCACATTTTCCCCATGATGTTTTTAAACACATGAAATTGACACTAAATTCCTATGTAATATGTCATTCACTCTAAAATTACTTTGGTTTAAGACCAAATAGTCTTTCAATTGATTCTACGTATAAGAGATAAGACATTATCAGAATGCAGCTCAGTCAGCGTGAATGGCCATTGTCTCTTTCTGACCAAAATGCTGTCAGGGTTATTCTGACCCTCTCAAATGGAAATCAATAGTCCTATAAAGTCAATGTCTTGCCTCACAGCTATGACAGTTTGTCCTCCCTCAGAATAAGATCACAGTGATAAGAGAACTTTGAAAATGGTACAAGCCCTACAAAGACTTTTAGCACTGGAAATAAAAACCAGTCATTATAAGCTAATTTCAACTTAATGTGAGAAGACCATGACCAGTTTGCTTTACACATCTAATCTGACTGAAAACATCCGCAAATGGAGAACCTGTACTCAGAATATTCTTTAGCTTCCTCTCTCCCAAATATCAAGGGTGCACTGAACTCATGACATGGCCATGGAACCACACAGCCGCACTCCGTGTGCAGAAGGAAAGACGGAATGAAGAGCTGCCTTCCTCAGAGTGTGGTGAGACCTCAGAACACGCTACTCTAACCTTGTTACAAAGACAAAACCCACCGAATAGCGACTCCTACAAAACAAAGGTGACTCTCTCGCACACCTGTCATCTACTCAAATTATTCACTACTTTCACCTCCCTAGAAAAAGGCCTATTATTTAACATTAACCATATTCTAATTTTAAATGTAATTCATTTCTTAAAAAAATAACACTGTCTCTGATCAGATAAAGAACAAAATGGCTTACAGAATGCAACACAACTTTTCACAAGTAGCTAGACAGATTTTCCCTTGGAGAAAAATTAGCCTGTACGCTACAAATTTTAACTTAAGTACTATAAGCATCTAGAGTGCCACTTGATTTTTTTAAGTATACTTAGACAACATAATTAAAATGCAAAAGCTGGATGTGAGAATATTCAAACATGACCATGATAATTTACCAATTAATGACACTTCACTTCTTTCGTGGGCTAAGCACATTTTGGTAGGAGAAAGGCATTTTCAAAATGGAATACTGAATGACACACCACAAAACTTCCAAAAAACAAAACAGAAAACGTCTGAGTTACCCAGATAAATAAACTTTTTCAGTTAAAACACTTCAGGTTTTAACATATACAGACTTTAAGCAATTCTACTTATTTCCGTTAGAAAGATACAGAAGTGGCACTTACTGGTATAGTACAATCCCATTTTGAAGGCATGTAATGTTGTGAATATGTGAAAGAACAATAATAGTATACAAAATACAATTGCATAAATTATGTTCCTCACTACTACATGAGGTCATTTTTAGACTCAAGATAAGAGTTTTATAAGTGTTAGTTTTAAGATCCTGAAATTATAGAACAGTACATTCAAAGTCTGAATCAAGGGAACTCTTTAGTGGTTCAGAATCCTCTGAGAATGTACTAACCAGGAGTAAATCACTTTCTTTAAAAATAAGAAATGTTTCGTATAACTCAGCAATCCAGTTCCTTTACCCTTAAAGACGATCTTCAGCACAGCAGAGCTACCTAAAGTTAAGACCAGCAATTATGTTTTAATAAAACAAGTTTTGTGTTAATAAAAGATAAAGGTAGACTACACAACATTTTGTAACTGTCCTGGGAAAGAAGCGTTCATAGTGCACAGAAAGGACCCCATGGCTGTTTCCTGGGTCCAAAGCAATCCTGGGAAGTTTTTAATTGACCTTATTACACTGTTGCAGAAGGAAGCAATATCCTTCTGTTCCCTCTCAGTGAGGTAGAACTGACCTCCCAAATTAAACCCAGGAGCAGATCTGAAGGAAAAGCAGAGCCCAGGCCAAGCTGCACAATTACATTTTGATGCCTTCTTGTTGACTGAGCTGTGACAATGTTTTCTTAATCCGCAGAGCTGTAAGCCTTGCCGCTCCATTGGCATACCAGCATTCTCTCATGATTTTAGCCATTACTCTCAGAGCCTAGAAGAAAACACAGGAAAAATAATTAACACACACACCACTTCCACTGATTTGGATAAGAATCTTTACCTGTAAAGTTTCTTTCTAAATGATGTGTGTACAAGTTTTTTTTGTTTCAGCATTATCTGTAACAGGAAAAGAATAGGAATGACCTAAATTCTCATCAATAGGGTACTGGTGCGAGCAGCTGGAAAGCAGCGGACGGGGGCACTGACTGAGCAGACCTGAGAAAACTGGACCCTAACCAGAGCTGTGCTGGGGCAAAGAAGGAACTTGACTCACACTGAAACTCCCCTCAAAGGCATCAAGTACCTGTGGGGTGAAGTTCAGGCTAAAAGTAGGAGGATCGACCACAAGAGCTAGAACCCCAGACACCCGCCCCTCCCACCTTCACAGAGCGGGGGACTGCCCCCACCCCAGCAGAAGAGCAGAGGTTTGTATCTGAGAGGGTGAAACAGAGCTTTCCGGCTTGGGGAACGGAAGGGCAAAGTTCCACACTGACAACCCACCAAATGCTAAGACCGTACGCTTTCTCCCCAAAACACAGGCAGCAGCTGGTGCACACTCCGCCAGGGAAGAGGCCGGGAGAATCTTCTCTGGGCAAAGTGAGCAGCCCAAGAAGAAAGGCCTGAAGACACCGGCGTCAGTGTCAGCCCAAGGAAGCAACCCAGTGACGTTTCCCGCAAGCCCATGGTCAGTGAGCCGCCTCCAGCACACGAGCGTCCTCCTGGCTGTCAGGGCCCCGCTCTTAAACATGAAGACAGCACGAGACTATCAGACACCTGGGGAAAGTACTATGAAATGCAGGAGCTGACACAGACAGAAAACAGCAACTTGGAGAAAGAGAAGCTGCACAGAGAGAAGAAAACACCAACAATCTATCCTTACTATGCTCAGAGATCAGACAACACTGATGCAGGGTCTACCAGGGATGGGCTTTTGTTTCTGGCTTGACTCTGGAAAAACTTTACAGAACTGGAAGGAAAACCTAGTAAAAAAAAAAAGATAAAAGCTGAAAACGTCCCAGAAAGTGGAGAAAAAAGACAAAGAAATGGACAATAGGAGGGAAACGATAAGAAAATCAGAGTCCTGTCCAGGAGGTCTGACTAGAGGTCCAACTTCCTAACTAGAACTGAAGAAAGAGGACAGAGGAAAATGGAGGGAACAAATCAGAGACACAGGTCAGGGACATTTCCTAGAAATGAACATTCATCTCCAGATAAAAAGGACCAAGTGCCCAGCACATACTTCTATTCATTCAACAAAGATTTATTGAGTGCCTACCATCTACCATCCTAGATGCTGGGAATACAGCAGTGAACCAAGAGACAAAATCTCTGTGCTCACAAAGCTTATAATCTAGAGTGCGAAGCATATAATTAATTAATAAAATACATGGACTTTCAGTGTTAAGTGCTAAGGAGAAACATCACTTAGGGAAAGAGATAAAATATGACACGGAAGGAGGGTGCGATTTTAAATAGGTATAGAGGTCACATCTCACTGACAAGGTAACATCTGAGCAGAGACCTGAAAGAGGGAGAAATGAGCCAACCAAGAAACAGGAAGACATGGAGTGCAGGCAGCTTCACCAGAACAGGTCAAGGGAACCCCAGGACGAAAGGCAAGGGCTAGCCCAAAATGAAAGCTGTACAGCTGGCTAAGAGCAGCCAGTCCAGACTGGAAAAGGCCAGAAGGTTCCGGAAGACACTTCTTTAGGCATTCTATCAGTTTCATAGTCTTGATGTGTTTCAACTATTGAGAGGAGATTTATAAAATCCTAGAAAAGTAAAAGATTGAATTAATGAAAGTACACAGAAAACTAACCAAACGGAGGATACCCAAAAATGACAGAGATGGCATTAACTCAGCATGATGTGATAGTAACTGCAAGTTCTAAGTGTGCTCTTAATGTTAACTGCTAACTTTTCTTCATGCTTAAAAAGCCATCGGTTTAATAATAATTTACTATTTTTTTTTTTAAGATTGGCACCTGAGCTAGCATCTGTTGCCAATCTTTTCTTTTCTTCTTCTTCTTCTTCTCCCTAAAGCCCCCCAGTACACAGTTGTATATGCCACTTGTAGGTCCTTCTAGTTCTTCTATGTGGGACACCACCTCAGCACGGCCTGATGAGCGGTGCCATGTCCCTGCCCAGGATCCAAAGTGGCAAAACCCTGGGCCGCTGAAGTAGAGAGCACGAACTTAACCACTCAGCCACAGTGCCGGCCCCAATCTGCTCTAATTATTGGATGAGTGCACACATACTTCAAGTTTATACTTTGCAGTATCAAGATCCAATTTTTAAAAGACAAAATAGAGCCCAATTTCATTTGTTAAAAATGCAAATTCCTTGAGCTCACTTAGATGCACTTCATCTGGGCCTAGATACTTGACTGTGTTGGAAGGAGCTAAGGAGCTCTCTTGATGTCAAAGGTTCTGGTGAGTCCTACATTATTTTAAAATGTAAAATCAACTACTTAAGCGACCAGCTTTTTACTCTTCCTAAGCTACAAAATTCAAATCTGGAAGGAAATGCCCTGCCTCACCAATATTATAATAGTAACAGCTAGCAATTAAGGACAGATTAAATAAAATTTGGCTTATGAACTCTTTAAATTTACAACTACAAAAACATTTGTAAAGCTTTTCTAAGAGCTATGGCTGAGAAGCTCGGATACTGCTGGAAAGCATTTTCCCCAAATCCCTCAGGAATGGTCATACGGGCAATCACACGAATACGATGTAAAAGCGTCTGAATCATCTTCGAAATCATCTTATCCAAGTTCCTCATATTACAAAAAGGCACGTTGACGTCCAGAGAATGAAAGTGATTCGCCGCAAGCAGACTGAACGGCAGCCGGACTGGTCTGGAACACAGGTCTCCGAGTCCGTCCAGCACTCCGCTGCCCGGGTGGAAGGGAAGCGCTTCGGCTCACCGGCAGATCCACACACGGTTCTGATGCAATGATAGCCTTTCCAACGTGCTTAAAATTGAACATGGAAGCCAAATTATTCTCTTTTTACTCATTGGTTTAGTTGCCATGAAAAGGAAAGAAAAGGGAATCCTTGTGTCTGTTTTCCTTAAAGAAAAACAGTAAATTTCCTAGCAAATTCCTAAGCAGCAGCAGTTTAGAAAATCTCATAGTATCCAGAAGAAACACTCACTTCACAGCTCTGCCATCTGTTTGGAATATTTGGCCTTAACTTCTGTTCACAAACAACCTTTCTCATTTCTTCAACTGATGGATCAGAAGGTACAAGATCATAATAAGGCAGCTGGTAATCTTCATGAATTCCTATATAGGCCAAGAAGAAAAAAATCTGTTTTGAAGAATTTACTGAGATAATGCTAGAGCATTCTTTGACCAGACAGAAAAGGAACACCTGTGAGTCCTATTATAGTGTCCCACTAAACCAGGCGAGCGGGACAGGCCTTACAGCCTGGTCTATCTGCTTCCACAACCCACCTCCCCAAGCTGGTACTGGGCCCACACCTTGAAACTAAACACCACCAGGGATCAGCAAAGGCTATTTTAATGATGCCTAACTATGAGCTGTGATCCCAGACTGACGTGTTCCCTAGAGCCCTAATGTTCAAGAAACGAGTTTCTATTCTGAGTGCACAGCCTCTCAGTTGGTACAGGGGTATACACTCTATCACCGAGCTGTGACTCCCACAAGGCCAGCCTGAGGTGCAAGGCCCTTCCTCTACTTGCACTGCCAATCACCTGCCCTATCTGCCACCATGCAGAGACAGATTCGGCCCCGCGGCCTCAAACACCTCAGGCCCGAGTCTCAGCCACGCCTGCGCCCCAGGGAGAAGAGAGATGTCTCGAGTAAACATCAAGAGTGCTCAATCTAAAACTAAACTTAAAAGTTAAAACTTACTTTTAACAGGAATGGAATGGAATGGAATGGCAGTATAACTGCATTCTGTATATCTCGTTTTAGCTAAAAGTCGGAGAAAAGAACCACAATCTCAGGGGAAAAAAGTTAGTTTGACCCAAGCACATGCTAGAAACAGCTTCCTGGGTGGCCTCTCAAGCGTTCATCCATTCTAAATAACTATATTCCAAGAAAAAAGGGGTTGGTTTCTGAGGCTTCCCAAGATTCAAGCAGAGACAGGAAAAGAACACACTAGGATGAAGCAGGCCCCTCACTCCAAGTTTTCTCTCCTTTGCTCTCTCTGGCTCTCTCAGTGATCGCCCAGTGAACACGATTTCAGACTGCTAATGTGTATAATCTCAGCCAGTAAAAAAGAAGGCAATTCTTGAACAACTTCTGCTCATGACACACCGCTGGGGAAGGGGGAGCAACTCACCACCAACGGAGCATCGTCGAGCTATTTCCCAGAACACTAAGCCCATTGCATAGATGTCGGCACGTTTGAAGGATTCAAAGTGTTTCATATTTATGGAATCATCTAGAACTTCAGGGGCCATGTACCTAAAAAAGAAGTCAGCATTTTATTTAATGGAGTGGTGGCCACATTACTTTTGAACTGTTTCATAAGTTTTCTTTTATTCCTGATAGTTATAAGAAAAATCAGTATTAACTTTAAGATTTTTCTCCCCTTTCAGCATGGTTTAGCTGTTTTTTAAAATGACTCATACTACTTAGGGAAATTTTCCCAAAGGACATAAAGGACAAAGTGAAACATCATTCCATTACTACCACACAGTGTGAACATTTTGATAGACATCCTTGCAGACATCTCTCTGTACGTAGACAGACATATACCTACAATATTACAGAACTGAGATCATATTAGACTCAAGAAAAATATATATCCACACTAGTTTGCAAATTAATGCTGTCAACTAAAGCCCAGGGGAAGCTGAAACAGCATTTCATGCTGTCTGCCTCATCTCAGTTTCAATGACAGACACACACTTAACAACTGTGACTGTGACAAGAGTCCTAATGTACTTTGTCATGTCCTTTGCAGGGACTATAATCTAGACGTCTTCTCATCCAATAGGATGAAAGGAAAGGCAGGGATACTCGAGGAAACAAAATAATAGATTAAAATGAATGCCCGTCCTCCTACTGATGCCACATTGCAGGGTTCTGAAGTTTTACAAATCCTACTAAGGATACAGATCAGGATGCATGAGGACCTGCAGCAACCACTGTCCCAGAACCCTGAGTGAGGGTTCTGAGAGTCCCTGTTAACGCCAGAAATCATAAACACAACTAGACAGAATAAAGCGTGGCTCTATTCAAGGCTAAAGAAGCAGCCTGAAGACATGTTGTGGCAACATGCTGTGATATACGGAGCCAAGCCTGGGGCAGAAAGGCCCAGGTTCCAATCTCAGCTCTTCAGCTTACCATCTGTATCAGGTTGGCCACATTACTTAACCTCCACGTGATAGTATCCTTGTCTGAATTAAGAGTAATTCAGATAGTAACACCTACCTAGTTAGATTCTTTTGAGGACTCATGGATTCAACAAATGTTTACTGAGGACCTACTATAAGTTAGGCACTGTGATGGATGCTGGGAATACAAGGCCACTCTCAAGCAGCCTGCAATCCAATGGAATATTCAAACAAATAAATGGACAGTTACAACATGGTAAGTGCCTCAACGGTTCAACGTGCTAGGAGAGCTCTTGGCAAGAAGACCTAACAGCCTAGGAAAGGCTTCCAAAGAGAAAGGAAGGGTGAGTACAAGTCAGGGAAACAGTAGGGGGAAGCATGCTCTAGGATACAGCACATGCAAAAGTTCTAAGGAAGAGAAAAAGGCATACTTTTAGGAAGTGAAAATATGAACACAGCTTGGTTACCTACAGCTCAGCATTTGAGGAGAGAATTAAATGAACTAATATATATAAAAGGCTCGTTAAAATGACTGGCACATAGTAGGTACCCTATAAACATTAGCCACTGCTGCTATTGTAATAACATAACTAATGATAATATTTTCTGGAAAGGCCACCTTTCCTCAGCAGGCATCTTTTAAGTCAGGTAGCCTTGGCTTCAGAGCAGGCAAGATCATGAGATCTTCTACCCGTGGACAATCTAATAAAGTACAAGTTTGAGTTTCAGAAAAGATAAGTATATACAAATGAGAAGAAAAAGGAAGAGAAACTGATTCCAGAACATGTTGAACACTATTCCTTCACAGTGTACCTTTTTGTTCCCACTCTGTGGTTTGGAGCAATATCAATTGTATCTGTGGCCGAATCATGCCTTACTGCCAGTCCCAAGTCTGCAATGCAGCAAGTTCCATTCTTCTTTACCAAGATATTCTTGGATTTCAAATCTCTATGAGCAATGGCTGGTTTTCCTAAAGAAAAAGAATTAAACATGACTCCTTAAAAGGCAATACCAATCACAACTCTCACTTTAGGTTCCAAAGCCTCTCCTCTCATCCCAGAACCAAGCATTTCAGCCCACATCACCCACAACACCTGAGCTGTCACTTAGCAACCTCAAGTCAACTGTTATACCAAAAGTTCCTGAAATTACATTTCTTCAAAGAAAATGATATGCTCCAAACGACAGTGTTCAAAAAATGTAAGTTTAACAACTCAAAGACTGGGGGTTAAAGATATTAGTTTGTTTGTTGAAACCCTATGAATTATTTATAGGAACCCTAGTCACAGACTGATATTTCAGTCCAAGAACCAAGAATCTAGGTCATTTCCTTTGCCTATAAACTGGAATGTACTCATTAGTAAATGTACAACCTTGAATACTAACCACTAGAAAAAGTGTTATTAAAAAATAATTAGGGGCCAGGGGCTGGCCTCGTGGCCGAGTGGTTGGGTTCGCGCGCTCCGCCTCAGGCGGCCCAGTGTTTCATCGGTTCGAATCCTGGGCGCGGACATGGCACTGCTCGTCAGACCACGCTGAGGCAGCGTCCCACATGCCACAACTAGAGGAACCCACAACGAAGAATACAAAACTGTGTACCGGGGGGCTTTGGGGAGAAAAAGGAAAAAATAAAATCTTTAAAAAAAAAAAATAATAATTAGGGGCCAGCCCGGTGGCGCAGCAGTTAAGTGCGCATGTTCCACTTCGGTGGCCCAGGGTTCGCTGGTTGAGATCCCGTGTAAGGACATGGCACCACTTGGCAAGCCATGCTGTGGTAGGCATCCACATATAAAGTAGAGGAAGATAGGCATGGATGTTAGCTCAGGGACAGTCTTCCTCAGCAAAAAGAGGAGGATTGGCAGCAGTTAGCTCAGGGCTAATCTTCCTCAAAAAAAAAAAAAATTATTACAATGTAGAAAACTGAAACCCTCATAGACTGTTGGTGGGAATGTAAAATGGTACAGGCTCTTTGGAAAAAATAGTCTGGCAGTTCCTCAAACCACTAGAGTTACAATATGATCTAGTAATTCCACTCCCAGGTATATATCCAAGAGAACTGAAACGACATCCTCACAAAAACTTTACACCAATGTTCAGAACAGCATGATTCATAATAGCCCCCAAATGTCCATCAACCGATGAATGGATACACAAAGTGTGATGAATCCATACAACGGAATTATTAGCCAGCCATAAAAAGGAATGAAGTACTGAAACATTCTACAACACGGATGAACCCTGACAATATGCTGAGAAAGAAGCCAGTCTCAAAGACCACATATTGCATGATTCCATTTCTATGAAGCATCCAGAATAAGCAAATCTTAGAGATGGAAAGTAGATGAGCGGGTGCCTAGGGCTGAGGAGTTCGGGGGAAAGGAGGATGGACTGCTAATGGGGACAAGGTTTCTTTTTGGGGTGACGAAAATGTTCTAAAATTGACTGTGATGACAGTTGCACAACTCTGTGAATATACTAAAAAGCACTGAATTGTATACTTTAAGTGGGTGTATTATATGATATGTTAATTATAATTCAATAAAGTTGTTATAATCAACAATGATAATAATTACAAAGATGGGGCTGGCTAAGACACAAAATGGCACATGTATGGTGCAGTGGGGAGCGGGGGCCCTCAGGTAGCAGGTGGATAACGACCAGAGTGGAGAGGCATTAGCATCTGTTCCCCTGCACAGCACAGAAGCCACAGCATAAGAATTCCATAACTAAGACTTAGTATTTAATTTTTCAACTGCAAAAGTATCTCATGCAGTCTCTTTATCTCAGGGACAAATATAATTGTCAGATGACCAGATAACATTTATATGGCATGTTGATACTTACAAAGCATTTTCACATTTCATTTGACACTACACATAAAAATACATTCTCTTAAACTCGAATTTTAAAATCAAGATCCTCAAAATCCCATGACTGAATGCTACTTTTAAGAACTCACAAAAATACCAGTGTTGTTACAATGACTAGAGAAGCTCTAAACAAATTCCCAGATTCCTAACTCCACCTGAGATTTTCAACAGAAAGATAAAATGTTCTCATCTAAAACCTCTAACTTTTAAACATCTCCAATTAGGCTAACTTCCTACAAAAATTTTCTGAACAGACATTAGATTCATGGGAATTTAAGGCTTAAATAACAAGATTGCTGTAAGTTACCTTGGGTACCAACAATCTCCATGTGAAGATGGGCGAGTCCACTTGCCGTGGACAGAGCGAGTTTTATCATCCCTTCCACAGTCACTGTGTATCTGTTCAAATAATCAAAAAGGGAGCCATGCTCATGATAATCTGACACCAACCAGAGCTGAGTCCATGTACCGTTGTCTACAAAGTAGAATAACAATGTTTCAGATGGGTTGGAGAACACTTACTATTTATGTATTCAAAAGTGATCACTTTTTATTCTCAATCTTGACTCTCACAACTACAAAATGATAGTACTTTAAGTTTGTATATATTTCCTTCATATTTTCTTCTATTTTCAGTCTGTCTTATACTTTTACATACATATCCTTTAGATCCTCAGAGTAAGCCCCTCATTCTTGAGATAAGGCAAGGATAACTAACACCATCTAAGAGACAAGGCATCATAGTTCAAAGACGGCGATCCTGAGTCCACACAGACAGTAGCAGAGCTGGGACTCCTTAGTGCCTAGAAAAATGCCCGGTTCAGCTTAGGTGCTCAATGGTTGTTTCTGGAAGGAGGGAGGGAGGAAGGTGAGAAGTATGTGGTGCCCAGTGTGGCCACAGTGGGAATGCAACAGTATGGAACAAAACTGAAAGTGAGCTTAAATGAAGAAATGCAAGCTTTAATGACACACTCTGTATATAGTTCACAAAGAAGCCAGACAAGACGACCATGATTCCAAGGCTTCCAGCTTAGAAAAATGTAACAACAGTGGGGTATCCCTGACACATGAGGCAGCTGAGAAGGGAAATTAAGTGGCAGGAGGAGAAAAAGCTGGGAGTGAACCCAGTTTTACACAAGGTGATTTTGAACTTCAACAACTAGGAATGCACCTTCCAAAAGTTCGTTTCTAAGTGGATACGTGAATTTGTTTTCCCATGGGAATCGTGGTAAAGGTTCCGGCTAGGCTTGTAGGCTAGGCTGGTCCACAAGAGCCTATTTAACCTAGAAATAGCTGGAAAACCTACTATTTCATGAAACCATGAAAAAAAAAAGCATGACAATAGCAGGAAGCAGCACAATTCAGCGCAACATGCACACCTGGAGTCATTCTGACCTGGGGTGGAATCAGGGTCTGGCTGTTACTACGGGACCTCAGACAAGTTTCTTAACCAACGAACCTCGGTTTCTTCTCTTACGTAACAAGAATACCTTATTTTACAAGACAGTTCAGAAGACTTAAAAAAGAGGATAATAGATTTTTTTTAAGCATTTAGTACAATGCATGGCACATAAGAACTTAAAATGTGCTGTTTCCTTCATTATTCTAAAAAAAAAAAAGAAAAAGAAAAAACCCAAAGTGACATAAAACAACGTCTGTATTTTACTTCAAGGAAAGCAACTCTGATCAGAAGAGATTAAGGAAGAAGATGTTCTCAGAAGACTGTGGAGGGGATTTCTGGGTACTTTCAAAAGAATTTAGAGGTTCATGATATTTATAAACTTGTTCTTCATAAACCTTATAAACTGATTCTGTTCAAACATATACCTTTTCTTTTCCTCGAGACAGGTGCATCACTGGCTTTATGCGCATGCTTATTAACAAGGACTGAATTGTGCAAGGCTCACAAATACAAGAAATAAATAACACAGGCAGATGGATGAAAGGAGACTGAGGTAACTGACGAGAGAGGCAGAAGGAGAAAGGAGATATAAGAGGCTATGCACGTAGAAAGGGTCGTCTGAGGTGGAATTAACTCAGTCCGGAGGGTAAAGGAAAAGGGAACTGCGGTGGAGGGGCTAGGTTCTGGGCAAAGTCTGCCAACCCTGACAAAGAAGAAAGGAGAGGGGAGGGAAGAGCCCGCAGGGTCAGCTGGTTCCCACGGTGACCACCAGAGGACAGCACCAGCTCGGCTGCTGCTTGAGCAAGTGGGAAGAGAAAGTTCCGCGTACAGCAGCAGGAGCGTTTTGTGCTAGTGTGTTTGCAACATGAAACATGCCTAAAATATGGTGGGCCTGGGTGAGGTTTGAGGCTCAAAATGCAGATTTGGAAGTTTGCCACCACGGTGGAGCATCAAGCCACAAATGTGGGTGAGTTCTTTAAGGGAGTAATGACTATTTGTAGAATTAGACACTTTACACGAATCAGTAAGAAGAGTTTCAGAAAACAAAGACGACTATCAAGAAATACGAAATAAAGGAAGCCTAGAGTCACAGAACATAATAAAGGTTGTTTTGAGAGGTGGAGAACCTAGTCTCAAAGACAGAAGAAAATGAAAACGGAAGACTTGGTCAGACTAGGATCACTGCTTTGTTTGTTTTGTTTTTAAATTAAGTAATACTGAACTGGTAGCAGCCATTGATAATCGCTGCCTACATCCGTCACATCCGTCACTGCCCCAAGTCACAGAAGAGAGGTAACCAAACACTACACGCCTACTGGTGTGACACGGTAGAAAGGACACAGCAGATCGGAAGTATACAATATTTTCAGGAAACCAGAAAACTAAGTCAGATTCAGTCTCTAACTACCAGTTTTCAAATACAAGGAGTAGGATCAGATACTATGGGAACTCAATTAGCAAAATCCAGAATGTGAGAAGCCCGACAAGACAAACAATCCAGTTCCTTCAACAAATAAACTGAAAGAAGAAAAAAAGATGGAGAAGGAACCTACAGACTTTAAGGACTTAAGATAAATATCAACTAAATGCAATGTGTAGACTTTGGATCCTAAAGTGAATAACCAATTGTTTACAAAAAAAAAATAGGAGACAACTGCAAAAATTTGAAACTGACTAGATATTTGATGTCATTTTAAAAATTGACAGTGGTAGTGTGGTTGTTTCATAAAAAAGATTCCTCATAATCTAAGGATACAAATTGAAAATATTTATGGATGAAAAGATACATTATCTGGGACTGGCTTGAAATAATTTAGTTGGGGCAGTGTAGGTAGAATCAGAGATCAAATATGACTGGCAGTGAACTTAACTGGTGAAGATGGGTGATGGGGGTTCATTATACTAGTGTCTACTTTTCTAGATATTGGAAATTTTCTATAAATAAACCTTAAAAAATAAATAATAAATGCTCGTTGTAAATAAATTTGAAAATACAGAGAAACAAAAAGAAAAATCATAAAATCACCCATAATCACTGAGATTAAACACTGTTAACATCTTGAAGCAATAAACATTGTTGAAGAAAATGGGAAGGGACAGAAGAAAAAACACGACTATGGTCTGGCCAACCTACAAAAGATAACAATAGCATTTTTTTAAAAATAGGAAAGCTGGGAAATATATTTGACTCAGGCTGACAATGAGGAGAGTTGTGACACAGTCTCCGACAGCAGCTATCAAAGCAGGAATCGTGGGCACAAAGGCAGTAAGGAAGCAAGCAAGCAGCCGAAGTCCAGGCTGAAGCCACTGCTCAGGCCCCACGTGCTCTGACGCTCACTCAGCTTCCCTGCTTCCTCGGCATCTGAACCGTCCCCGGCATCTGAGCTGTCCTCGGCCTCTAGCATCTGTGCCACAGGCAAGAAAGTGTCCACGTGGTCACCGATGGCAAGGTGGTTTTGGAGAAACCACTTCTCAATTTAACTGAGTTTACCTAACAGATTAATCTACGAAGCCCCAGGCAACTGAAAACATAGAATACACTAAGAAGTTATTTTTCCTCTCGATATAAATAGGGTCACTAGTGTACATGAGAATGCCCTAACGGTCAGGAAGAGATTAGAAGGAAACAGGCTTTTTAAAGCTCTTCACATTTTATAAAACAATTAGAGATTGAGTAACACGGCATCAAGAGTCAAGAAACTCTTGAAGTTCCTGTTTCTAAAGGCTCCTAAGACATCCTAATCGACCTGAGGGATCTAATCTACATAACAAACATCTGTTTCTCATCAAACTTGACAGGCTTTAGCAGCCATCCCTGTAAAAAGCCTTCAGTGGATCTTGTTATACTCAGAGGAGAAGCGAACGCTACTGACCTTTATTGTCCGCTGCTATAAATCCCAAGATGTTTTCATGACGTAACATTACAGTTTGATAAATCTCGGCCTCACGGAACCATGAACGTTCTTCTCTAGAGGAGAATATTTTAACAGCGACTTCTTCTCCTCTCCACTTCCCTCGCCAAACTTCTCCAAATCGACCTTTGCCGATACTTTCTTGTAACACGATAGTTCTCGCGATTGTTCTCTGAACAAGCAATGGTAAACCTAAAGATAAAAATACACAGTATTCGATAATAATCAATCAATATGGTATTTCTAACACCATGACAGGCATTAAAGGGTGACTAGAAACATATAAGCCCTTAAGCTCTACCCGGAAGGAATTTACAACCTCACTGAGGAGTCACAGACTACGTTGGCGAAAACAGTAACTCACGACAAAAGGAAAATAATAAATACAATAAAAGAATCCAGAAACTCCTGCCTTGACAGGCAAGGTAGGCTTTGTAAAGTTGAATTTAGCCTGTCTTTTACAGAAGGAGAAAAGGAGGAGGTGAGTAACATGTTTAGGTAGGAGGAAATGAAGGACACAGGTTAGGGAACCAGCAAGATCAACAGGAAAGGGATGTATGTGGCAAAGCAGTGGAACAGAAGGTAGGTAAGCTATCACCAGAATACGAAGAGTGAATGCCAGGCGCAAGGCAACGAGTGAAAGCTGTGGGTAAAAGACGAACCAGTAAAGAGTTCTGAAACGGGGCCACGAATGAGAAGAAAGTTAAAAGTCTTCTTTTAGAAAGATGAATATGGTAACGGTTTTACTGATGGAAAGAGAAAATATGTGAACACCAGGAACACAGAAGTAAATTCTGGCCTAACTTTTAATCAGTAAAAATTATCACAGAAACCATTTCAAGACAAGCAATTTACGTGCTAGGAACTAGGCCTAGGCAACACTAGTAGCTCAAAGAATGATGCCGAGTAACTTACCTTGGTAACGGGTCACTGGCATTTTTTCACCAACTGAACTTGCCTTACTCTTAAATACATATTTTTAAATATTGCCACACATTTCATTTACAGAAAAGAATTTGCTAACTACCTACAACATTTAAGTAACACTATATTTGGGACTATGCCAATTAACTTAATATCATACCCCCAAGGACTAAGGAACTGACATTTTAAATTATACTAATGATGACAACGAAAATACTAGCGTATAGCATGTTCCACACTAGTCTGTCACTTATACAATCTATTAGACATAATTCAGAGTTCCCTGCTTGATCAAATTAACCCAATGATAGTAAATGAAATTATCAGCTCTCTTTGGTTCCCTGATGTGAAACGCTTATAAATCCAAATGTTAAGTCTTCAAACTGATCAGAAGTTTTTCTCTTTTCATCTTTAAGTTTCTCAAATGGGTCCTTTCCTCCCCATCTCCTATGAAGTAATCAGCAGTCTAATTATAAACAATTATTTTTATGTTTATAAGGAGACTGCTAGTTAATAACAGATTTGTGAAAAATCCTTATTTAAATCAAGGAACTCTTTTGTATTAATAAATTGAATCCTAATTATGCTGTTGAGCGTAGACACTAATTCGCTAACTGAACAGGGCCGCACCATGTACTTAAAGATTTAACGTACACTTAACAGTTAACTTCAGGAGGCTACCCTGAAAGTTAGAAAGGCAAGGAATAAAGCAGCAAGAGGAATCGCAGACTGGAGGCTGAAAACGCCTGACACACTCAGGACTCCCAAAAATGGGACGGTCAAGAAAGGCCAAGAGGACAAGGAAAGTTCCTGTCTTCCCCACCACTGGATTCCAGACGCAGAACTAAAATTAAAAGCCAAATCTAGATTCATCATATTATCTATAATTGGTTAATATAACTCACATGAATACCTGGGCATTTTTTAAAAGTAAATTTTCTTCTAAAGACAAAAATAAACAGGCCTAATTCATATCTCTATATTCTCCGCTTTACTCTTTTGTACATTTAGAACTGCTTGAGAGAAAACTTCAACAGGGAAACGGTCCAAGCAGCTTCACATGCAGTGAACAGAAATAAAACCTGAACACCACGTGTACCTTATAAGAGATCATAAGCATGAACAAGACATAACGAACACTGGCCTGGCAGACTCACTCTCGTTCAAAAACTGGCACATGTGCGCATGCTCACACACACTTTCTAATCTAATGGCGGCTTAAATAAGGTGCATGCACAACCTGTGATTCAAATTAGTGCAATGGGCATGGGTTAGCTTCAAGGTTTGAGCTGCCAGACCCCAGCTCCCCACCGTCTTCCCTGCAGTTCCCGAGTTAAAACGTACGGTCTCTGAGAGCTGCAGATACGGCTTTTCCTCAATTATGCTCACGGTACTGAGCTAAATATGTGAATTCACAACACGAAACGTCTACTTTTACTTTTCCCTCAATGAGTGAAAGAACTAAAAAGGGTATTATGAATAGACACTGTACTCACTCACAGGCGTGAGTCCCACGCACAAGGTGGTGTGAAGGCTTTATAATGAATAGAAGGGAAAGAGACGGCATTTTCTGCTATCATTCAACAAAAGCTAGCTTCTGTCTGGATAAATCTGGAGGCATTCAGCACACAAGGAACTAGGACAGGGAAAGGAGGCCTTAAACTAAGCTTTTTTGTACAACACAGTAAATTGATAATGTATATCAGATTTTTCTTCCAAATATCTTTTCAATAAGAGTAACTTCTGCGGCCAGCCCGGTGGCACAGCAGTTAAGTGCACATGTTTCGCTTTGGCGGCCCGGGGTTCGCCGGTTCAGATCCTGGGTGTGGACATGGCACTGCTTGGCAAGCCATGCTGTGGCAGGCGTCCCCCATATAAAGTAGAGAAAGATGGGCACGGATGTTAGCTCAGGGCCAGCCTTCCTTGGCAAAAAGAGGAGGATTAGCGCAGTTAGCTCAGGGCTAATCTTCCTCAAAAAATAAAAAAAGAGTGACATCTGACATTTGGACATAACCTCACAATTTACCAAATGCTTTCACACGAACATTGTCCCATTTGAAGCTCACAACAGTCTGACGACGAGCACAGGACAGGGTCCATAACTTTCATTTTAAAGATGAGAGAACTCAGGCAAGAGGCATCAGCTAACTGTGCAAAGCCAGAGAGCCAGCAAACCACAGGGACAAGCTTCTCGGGCTTAAGGCACAAAGGAGGGGGAGACGCTTTCAGACAACAGAGCTGTGGGCCCTGATGGATCTAGAGATACAGATAAAATGGAAAAATAATTCCATTCTTTACTTCATGTCTATATCTTAAAAGGTAAATGAATGTGCTCTTATTCAGAAGTCGACTGCCACCCAGACAGTAATCCCTTTTAATTCTTTAGGTAGGCTTGTTCCCCTGAGGCCTCATGCATACCACTGTGCCCAGTGGCATGAGCGGCTCTGATTTCCCTGGATGTAAGTTTGGCAACCAGAGAACAGGTCTAGGGAATTAATTCCAAATGGTCTGTAGCCACCGTGATTTGCTGTGACTTTGGTTCTTGCTTGTCATAGTTTTTTGGTCCAGCATGACTTATAGGATGGGCCCGATCTTCTCTGGGAACCCTTTGCACTAACGCAGAATCAATGGGAAACCTCAGGAAGCCCTCCACAGTCTCTCTCCACTCCTCCACCACTGCTGCCCAAAGGCTCACACCTTCAGTACTAAGGCTGCTCCATCTCGAGCCAACCTCTCAGTGCCTCCCTCCTCACACCAGTCTCAGGGCTCCCTGAAGGCTGCCTTCAGAGACCTAGGCCCCGGCGCCAGCCCGTCTGCGTCCCAGCAGTCACGGACAGAACTCCCTTACTGAATATACTCGGCCGAATTCCACAGAAGACTTCAGGTCAGGAAACTGGCTTCCCCACACTTGAACGAACTGATATGATATGCATCAATATATAGTCATTTCCTTAAAACAAAGAGACATCTGTCACTGCGTGAACTTTCTGTTTGATCAGATGTGACCTTGTGCTTCAGTCATATTCTTCCCCCAGTCACAATTTCTGCTTTAATGTTCCTTTAGTCACTTGACTATAAAATTAGTGAAATTTTCATTATCTCTCTTTTCAAATCTTCATTTTATCCATGAATCTAGCCCCTTATTTGAAGCTGATTTATACTTTTCAAAGGACAGTATATCTCATTTAAAAGTCCTAACAAACCACTTTAAGTATTATTACCAACACTACCTGTTCCATATTCTGATGAGGAAGCAGAAGCCCAAAGAGGAAACCTGGTTTAACCAAGGTCAGACAGCCAATCAATGACAAAGCTTGCAGTGGAATCTAGATCTCTTGATTCCTAGCCGAGTGTCAAATTACAACATTGTAAAGGACAGAGGTCTTCCTCTCTTACTATCCTTCCAAAGCACAGGCAAGAAAAAGTAAAAGACAAATCCCCTTCGGTTTACAGGCGAACCCCTGCTATGCCAAAACGCACCTCAGGAGATGATGCCGGCAGTTCACCGGGCTATTTCTGACCCCACAAAACCCAACAAACGGAACTGCAGAGAGCAACACCACAGGGGCTGTGGACCCATAAAGCTACAGGAAATAACAAGGTGGCTAGACTTTTTTCTGAAGTGAGAAAAATAACTAAAAACTCATTATTTTAATAAAAAATTAGCCCTGAGCAAAAGACAGCAATTTCTTGTTAAAAAGGCAAACAACCCTCACAACTGCAAACACATTTTCTGTCATGCCTGCTTTCAAACACAGAAATAAAGCAGCTAAACAACTCTGAATAGAATGGGTAGCTACAGATCATTTGAACATCTTTCAACTTCAGCCTCACCTATATGAGAATAACTGTCCTTATTCTTACTATCTGTGGAGTCATGAGAAGGTGAGAATGCTCTGAAATTTATACACACTTGAAGCTGACTTACTGACTTATTTCAACAGTAAAAGTTCTGATCTGTCTAAACTAGCCACAGTCAGATACAGACCAAGCTTAAAGACCTTGATTAGGCTCAAAGCTGGATTAGTATTCACTCTATCCCAAGTTTCAATGAACTAAGCCAACTGGCTTAGCCAACTAATAAAATAAATAATACAGTTAATTTTAACAAGGCTTCTTAGGAACAAGGAAAAACAATTACGTCACCTGATCCAGAACCTGATGTTGTCATATCATAAATTAAGTCTTTTAACGTAGTGCCCTCTGAAATAAAAGGGCGATCTAATGAAGGATCCTCTTCATTTGGCACTCGATGGTGAATGACAGTGCGGTTATGGCAGATATAGACCATCAACATGAGTGAGATGCAGACGAAGCAGACTGGTCCAGCAATGACAGCTGCCAGTTCGACAGGACCAAGGCCAGATGATGGCTTTCCTGAAAAAGGGCCTCAAGTGAAATAAACATCAACAACAATAAAGACACTGTAGGTGGCATCCACAATTCCTAAGCCTCCACAATTCCTGCAGTTGGCCACACCACCGTTAGTGACAGAGCCTCATTACAGGAGCCCAAAGGGCTCTAACCCAAAACAGGTGAATGGTTCAGAGTTCTCCCATTCGCCCTCCTTTTAAGACCACCAGCTCTGTCAGTATCCACTTATTCTTCCTGTATTCTTCAGCCCTCGTCTAAAGAACAAGGTCAGCTCCCAGCAACATTCTAGGACTAGCAACATTTGTCACTCTCAGGTGACTAATGAAGGAACCAATCATCTGGAACAAGTCTTATTAACATCTTCTTAAGTTGTCTTTTTTTTTTTAAGTACTTTTGGCTTGTCATCTTATTCCAAGGCCAGTATAAGCTCATAGCAGGAAAAAAAAAAAGTATAAATTCAGATGAGCAAAAGTAAAAAAATAAACAATCTCCACCCCAAAACAGCTCATATTTTAGTGTGTGTGTATATATATCTCCATCAATTTTGTTCACGCAAAATATATCCTTTGTCATTTTTTTAATAGAGTTTGCATGTGTATACTTTCTAGTCTATTTTAACTACTTGGACTTCTAATTCAAGATCATTTATTTTCTTATAATCTTTTAATAATTAACGTTTTGCACTGTTTTAGAAACATTAATTACAACTACTTTGGCATTCATCTTGAGTCTTGAAGATTCATTGCTCACCACCATTTCTTTCATATCAAGTCTTTGCCATTCTTGAGATCTTTATTTGGATTGATTTCTCATGATACAGAATCCTAATTCTAGCAATTTCTTTCAGAAAGAGTATATGGATCCTTACACATTTAATAATTATCTAAAGATGGCTGGTGGTTGCCTTTTTATATGAAAAACCTTGGCTTATCTAAAGAATTTGGGGTAACAATATATGATGTTCCATTGCCTTCTGTTATTTAAAAAAGCAAAAACATCTTAACTTTTTTTCCCCTTGTATAGGTAACCAGTGTTCACTCGTACTGAATGCGTATACTGATTTTTTTCTTTATTCTTGAAATTGATATTTTTTTCATTATATGTATTTGGGTTAAATATTGTTTCATTCATTTTGCATAGTATTCGTCCCTCTTCTGTCTGCTTTTGTGTTTTTTTCTGAAATTTTTAAACTAAGCATATTGGATCACCTCGATCTGTCCTCTCTCTCTCCAACTGTCTTTTTCTCTGAATTGTAACACAATTTCTCGAGCTTGTCTTGCCTTAAGCTTGTCTCACGCTTGACTATAAAGTTACAGGATCCAGTCTGCTGCTCACTTTCAATATTGCCTTTTCAAAACTAATTCATCAATTGCGCTTCTCATCTGAAAGCGATCTTTAACAACTGTGAAATGTCTCATTTCACAGTGAATAACTGAAAACAGACTTTGGGCCGCCTGAAAGTTCTTCCCTATCATGTGGTAGGCCTGTCTCATAGCATGACATCTACTCTGATTTATCCAGTTCAGTTCACTCCTTTTGAACCACTCAATCTTTTCATTTGGTAATTTTTTTGCTGTTTGCTTATCAGGGAACTGGGGATGCGGGATTTATAAATGTTTAGCATTAGCAACGAAGCGCGTTCTTCACAAGGTCCATGAGTCTCCTTTCAGATATTTCAAGGCCAAATAACAGAAATGGGAAATTCTGGAATTATCATCTTCTTTGTCGTATGAGAACTGCAGATGCCTACATCAAAATCAGAAAAATTAGTCTGACAGAGCCTTGCCATGGGGAGCTCCCCCATGCTGAAGATGTGCTTCTCCCTCGCTGTGGCCCCCGCAGGAGGTGGAGGGCTGCCTCCCCTCTGTAAAAGGTGGGGCAGGCTCTTCTCCTCTGGGCTACAGCGGTGCTTCCGACGTGAAGAGCACGACACCTGCCTGCCTGAGTGGAAGAAAAGTGAGCGCTGAGGTCTGCCCACGGAGCGCTGACACCAGGTGCTTCCGAAAGGAGAAGTGCGACTGGGCCCCTGTAACCTAATCTCACCCACAGCCTCTCAGCTTAAGGTGCTGGTGGGATGTTGTAAGAGGTCCTTTCACTTCTTTTCATAGTAAAATTCTTCTTAAAATACTTAAATACTTAAAACGCTTCTTTTCGATTCTCCACTAGTCTGACGTCATCTGCACTATAAATTGGAAAAGTTCCTTACGAGTGTAGGTGTGTGAGTGGCATTCTTCCATTAATTCTCCTAGCACTAATATGTTTCCCCCATGTTTATATTGCTTTGATTATTACGTTAGGAATTTGGGATTTGAGGAAAGTGATAGAAGGTTAAATACATGAGCTCAAACTAACATCTTAAACCAGAATCTTAAAATTAATCCAGTCCTGAGAGTTTATGAAGCCACCAAATTCCTGGCTCTGTCAAGACATTTTCAAATGTAAACTACGGTGAAGGACCAAAAACCTACAAACCATACACAATAATTTAGACATAAAGGTCATAAGACAAGGTGAAATTACAAAACGAAGGCATTTGGACTGTTGAGTGCTGCTCTCAATTCCCACCCATAATCGATCGCTTTAAAAGGCTGGAGCATTATACAAGGAGGAAGAAATTCACTCTGAGGACAAAGTAGGGACACTCTGAGGACATCCCGCGGTGGTGGGCTTTGTCAGGGTTCCCTTTGAAGAGGCTCCTCTTTTAAGCCTTCCAGATCTCAGAGAAGGCCTATTATTGGACCCACATTCTCGAACACACACCCAGGAGTCAGGATGTTGGCTGCTCTTATAACTCTCAGTTATGGACAAGTTACTTCTCGCCTCTAAACTGAACAAGCTGGGGTAGATGATTTCTAAGATCCCTTCCATAACTAAAATCATAGTCAGAGTCTAAGAGGTTTTCTTATAGTGTCAAGAAAAAAAACCTTACACAACAACTTACCAACAGTTGGGAGTTCTATTTTATTGCAATGGTCCTGATTGCAGCAATACGTTGTAGTAACAGACCCAGTTTTTGAGGACGGTGCACATACAAACGGCCTGTCTCGAGGAATTAGGTCGATTTCAGCTATACACATGCTATTGTGTATAACTTTATCTGTGGTCTCTGTGACAGAGACAAAGCAGAGCCCATCTGTGACACAAGTAAAATTGTCTTTTGTACAAAGGTGGCAGAAACACTGTAATGCTGGAAAAAGAGAACAAGATTCTATTACAAAAAATTCTCAAGGTTAACAATTTGAAATTACCCCATATTCACTACAATAATACATCCCTAATCCTGTTATAATCATACAATTTCTTTGTACTCTTCAAAAAACAAAACTCTATTACTCTTAGAAATTCCAAATTCTATTGGGAGCATACATATGTAGGAGCCAAACATGATGAAATTCCGACCCAGGTTTTTTCCTAAAACTTTTTTGCTTCTAAGTATAGAAAAATTGTTACATACAATTTCATCAAGGTAAGGAAAGCTTCTGCCCTCCCATCTGAAAAAAGGACATTTAAATTTTTAATGACACTCATTCTTAGCCCAAAACTGTGCATTCACATACTCCCCCCCGGGGAGCAACGTGTGAAAATACTACTACCTACTCAACGCAGGTTGGAAATGTCATTTAGGCGGATTTATGGCAATGGAGTAACGGAAATAGATACATATTGAGCTAGACACTCTTTTCTTTTGTACAAACCCTGGAAAGACATGTATCTTGTAGCTGAGGGTAGTTCTCAGCAAGCTAACAAGACTGTACCAGTAACCACACACACATGCTCCAACCACACAGGCAACCTGGCTACAGAAATGACTAGAGAACACTAGCTCCATGCCCACGTGTGTCTACTTGATCTTCACGGCTCATGGAGTGACTCCTTTAGGGAAGTCTTCCCCAACTATCCTCAACGCCTTCCCACGTACACAGACACACACACTCTCCACCATGCTCTCCAACGAGGGTAGCTGCTCCCCAAAACACACACTGCTTACCAGAATCGCTGTTTTTGTTTTTCTCTTCCTTATGAAACTCTAAGCTCCTTGAGGGTAGAGACCCATATTAATCATTTCTGTAAATCCACATCTAGCACTCAGCCTAGTACATAGCAGCCTTCAAAAAGTACTTGCTGAATGAGTGACAGAATGGGCAGTTAACATTGCTCTATGATCTCAGGAAACTGCAAAGCACAGATATGTACTTAACTCCAATCAAACTTTCCAATCACTTGGGAAAAACAGGGACGAGTCCAGGTATGTGGAACAGCCATGTACGATGAGACTAAGGAGGTCTACTCTATCTAGAAAGAGTGGCTAGGCAGACAGGCAGGCCAGAAGAAAGCTAACTCTCTGAACAGCTAACTTGTGTGCAGGAAAGGGTTAACTCAGCAGGCCTGAACTGCTCAAACCCTGCGCATTCCCAAGACAGGCCTGTCTTCAGGACTGGCCCTTGGCCAATTCCTAGGAGATGAGCTCTGATCCTTTGAAAGATTCTCCCTGATAAGAATGCTGCCAGGCTGTGTGACTGAGCCCCAGTAAAAATCCTGGACATGAAGGCTCTGGTGGGCTTCCCTGGTTGGCAACACTTCACGCATGGTGTCACACTATTGCTGAGCAATGGCGAGAAGACACCTGGAAGCTTGCATGTGGTTTCTCCTAGACTTTGTCCCATGTGCCTTTTCCTTTTGATGATTTTAATATGTATCTTTCCACTGTAATAAACCATAATCATGAGTATAACAGCTTTCCTGAGTCCTTCTAACAAATCATCGAGTCTGAGGGTGATCTTGGGGACCCCCCACTGACTTGTTAAACCCAAATTCAGGAATGCCAGGACCTCCTCAAGCAGCTGCTTCTTGGTTCTGGCTTAATTAGCACACTTGTCTATTATCTTTACAGACCACCCAAGTTTTACCTTGATCATTATAAAAAATTTGTTTTTCTTCATAGATAGTTCAGCTATTTGAATTAACTCCTCTCCAGCAAGACAAGAACTCAAGAAAAGTATAAGAAAGAGACACAATCATAATCTGACATTTAAAGACTGTTAAAGGAGACAGTAGTTACTCACGGTGAGGTCTGGTTGTGATTATAGGTTCCCTGGGTATAATTCCTAAGGAGAGATTCTGAAGCAGAAACCTATGAACTGGCTTCAGGAGTACATGAATCCCATGAAACTGTAAGCCAAAAGTTGTACGTATTTGGATTTTCAAGGAGAAAGTGTGTAGCTTTCAACAGAACCATAAAGCGGTCTGTCACCCACAAAAGATTAAAACCACCACCACCACAGGAGATTGTCATCCTTCTCTCCTGAACCCTCTTTACTCATGATTAGTTATTCAACCAATGTTTTCCAAACGTTAGCTTTATCAGCTACTCTACCCAAAGCTTCACATACAGAGGTTACTAACCCATGGTCACGGCCCTCGAAGAGCTCCAATGGCTCGTGAAGGAGAATGTCACAATACCTTGTGGGGACTGCTTTATATAAAAACACCGCCGTGAATACACTCCCAGTGCTAAGATCTTCACCGCTCCCACAGACGATGCGAAGTAAGAGCTAAACACTTGGTATAACAATTAAGACTTCCACTTTGGGTTCCAGCTTACCACTCATATTACAAACACCATCTAGGGCCACACACTTCTCACCACTATGAAAATCACGTCTTTTATGACTTTGGTCTTTACACACACTATCTCTCTGCCTAGTTTAGACCCACCCTCTCATCCTTTAAGACCCTATGCAAACAAACGCTTTTCCATCATGTGCTCTAAACCTCTTCCCTGCCTTTAAGCTAACTCGGCAGCTCGGTTCAGTGGTCCCACAGCCCTCTCTCCATACCTCAGGACAGCACAAATCAATCTACCTTAGGATAGCACAAATCAATCTACTTATAGTTTGCTATTAAAATGTCTCTCATTGTGGGGCTGGCCCCGTGGCCGAGTGGTTAAGTTCGCGCGCTCCGCTGCAGGCGGCCCAGTGTTTCGTTGGTTCGAATCCTGGGCGTGGACATGGCACTGCCCATCAGACCACACTGAGGCAGCGTCGCACATGCCACAACTGGAAGGACCCACAACGAAGAATACACAACTATGTACCGGCGGGCTTTGGGGAGAAAAAGGAAAAAATAAAATCTTTAAAAAAAAAAAAATGTCTCTCATTGTATTAAGAAGGGCCAAGTTTTATTAAATTTGTTTTGTTTTCCCATCTTTGACTCCTGGGCTCCTAGATGGTGATAAGAAAAATATTTGTTAAAGTAGTGGTTCCCAAACAGGGGGTCACAAATATGAGGGAGAAGGGGAGTCTGAGAACTGTGTACAAATTTTAAAAAATATTTTCACTTAAAAGATAATCTAAAATGAAATTGGAACATAAGTAACCACTATCTAAACAAGTACTGTCAGGAGGCTTCCACAGCTGCTTCTCCAGCTGTGCTAAGACCTCCTACAGGCCAAAGGTCCTCACGGTGCACAGCGTGAGCAAAGGCTTCACAGTAACTGTAATTGAAAGAGTGAAAACCACAGGGAACTTGAATCATCAGAGCGTATGGTGATACAGGCATGGTATATTCACGGTATATTCAGAAGCCAATAGTCTAACAGCCAATACCATACACAAGCTACAAGTATTACACAGGTCCTATCTTTGAGGTAAATCTGAAAAAGTTCATTAGCGATAAATGCGGCTGTAAGTAAGCAATGACAGTTTTCCATTCTCACTTCCAGCCTTAATTGGTTTAGAAAAACATTTAATAAAGATTTCAGCAATGTCACCATGTTAACCTCATCTTCAAGTGAACACAACAGCTGACACCACATAAAACCTGGTATCTGAGGAAGGCTTGCTGGCAAGTGTTCTGGTTAGGTACGAGGTCTGACCATCCTGAACTTACAAACAAGGCCTTGACGTCGTGAACAGCACTCTGCACAACAGCATTTACGGACCCGGCACTGCAGCTTTCAGGCTCACTGCAGTTAAAATACAGAAACAGATTTAAAATGCAATCAGACCTACGGCTATTTTTGCCTACTGTGAAACCTAAACATCATCTGTCACGCTGAATAACTGTATTAATTTGAATTCTGCTAGTTTTGTAGTTGTCTTTGTATTTAATTTGCAGACTTGATTTATAGTTGTAAATGAGCCAAAAACATAAAAGTTTTATATCTAGTTTCATGTCTATACAATTTAAGTAACATTATGAAAAAGACATTTTGCACGTTTCCTTTCAAAGGGGCCATTACATTATGGCAAGTTTGAGAAAGTCAGTGCCAAAGGGCTTCTGTTAACAAGAGTCTTTCAATAAGAACAGATTACTAGACAAATATAAACATCATATAACACAAAAATTAACCAAATAAGGGTTTATTTTCTGCGGGAATTTAAAAATTTTATTTCAGCACTCTAAATCAGAGTCATGATTGAATATAAGATTGCTGTTAAATGTATATGATATAGTAATATAGTTTAGGGTAAAATAAAACAGGAATTAAAAAATTCCCATGAATTCATGTGCTTTAATTACCATTTTTTTAAAATTCAAATTTATTTTATTAATAGATCTGACCCCTCGCTACCTCTCTTTTATTAACTAGGGGTTGTTTTTTAGCTTTTAAATGCACGCACAGGGCACCATCTCTAAAAGCACTATACCCTGATGTGCTCCTCCCACGCCAGAGCCCGAGTTTCATGCCCTACTCTGCTGCATCTTTTAACACCAGCCCAGCCACTCGATTCTTTCACTTAATTCGGCACTTTTTCATCGAGCTCTCTATATGCCAGGTATTATGTGGGCTACGGGGTGCAGGAACGAAGAAGACAAGGCATCTGGACTAAAGGAGTTTGCCAGGGTGGACGAGTAAGACATTAAACAGATCATTAAAATCCAGAGTCTTCGGGAAACTAATCAAAGGGCTTCACCTCTGCCCAGGCAGAAGACAGATCAGGAAAAGCTTCACAGGACAGTCAAGTCAGAACTTCAGAACTTGGAGAATATGTCAACTTGCTAGATGGATGAAGGTGAGAAAGCTATCCTGACAGGGTTTTCCTCCTCAGTAGCAGGATTTCCTCCTTGGTGGCTGGCGTCCCCAAATGTTAATAAGATCATCAGATTTATATACCTATTCAAGATGCTAACCACAATGGCTTCATTTCACCAGTAACATGAACGTTAATACCTTCCTGACCTATTTCAACACCTCATTGAAATCGTCGAACAAGATACTGTACATTAACACATTTTAAAATTATATGAAGATACAGAATTATCGCATACAATAAATGGCATTGTTCCAAACATGGTTTTTATTTGTAGGCCACCAAAGAAAAACACCTCTTTCCAAAAAGACTGCCTAAAATTCCACTAGAGTCCTAAACTGACAGAACCGCATGAAATCTTCATGAGCTGGTTCTGATTCAGTTCTATCATTTTACTAATGAAGAAACCAAAATTTAAGAGTACCAAAATGATTTGCAACAATACTCCACCCAGGTTAGAGCTGGATATGAATTCTCACTATTAATAAACTATATGTGGGCTCTCTTCTGCACTTGCGCCCTATGGTAAGTGACTCCAACCTTTCGAGACTCCCTGGTGGTTCAATAGCACAGCTTCTTGTTTGGATGGACCTCTAGAGCTTGACTGTCCTGCTAGATAGTAAAGGTAAGAACCAGATTCCCTGTTTAGTATCTCTGTCCTACCCTGGCCACCTTTGCTTCCATGCCCCAATCTCTACCGGTGGCCACAGCGTCTTCAACTCTAAGATGCACATTTCCCCCACACTTTAACATTTCTGAAATCTGAATACATTTCACAATCAAGGTCAAAAGAAAATTCCAGCCTCTGGACAGAAAGGTAAGACATGATGTAGTTGTTGCAACCTATGCATGTGCAAACTTGGCTAGGCATGGAAGGTATAATTCATTTAATCATCACTTGAATCATTTGCATTGGTAGCTCTCCTGCAACTAAAATTTAACCTAAGCTTGAGCCCCATTAAAATGTCTTCACAAAGATTTCACTATGATTTAGCACTGCGATGAAACGCTACTGTGTTCACAGAAAATTGCCAGTTCTGTGCCAGGAAATACAATTACTAGCAGTAGAAATTCCCAAAGCCTGCAGAATAAATCACAGAATTTTCAAAGTTTGAAGATGTTGGTGGGATGTGAAGGACGGTCAGAAACCAAACATCTAGCTGTCAAAGGAAGTGACAGCAGTAAAGGGACAGCAGGACCCTTGGGGTTACCATCTTTGCTGTATAATAGTATCGGAGTGATGAATCCTAAATTGAGATTCTGGCTCTTGGTCCCAACAATAAGGGAAATTTCCATCTTTGCCTCATTTCAATGTGCCTGGAGGTCACACATCGAAACACTATTTTTCTCCCTCATGCCAGGGCAACCAAGGGTTGATTCACAAGGCCATATATCTGGCTAGAGAAGTGGAAATGTAGACAGCCTGCGAATAGTACATGGAACACACATTTCTATTAGCGTTGTTGACTAAATAAACATTAGTACCAGAAACCTTGCTTTCCCAGGCCTAGAGCGACAGCGTCTATGCAACTTAGCCCCCGTTTATGCATACACTTCAATACTCTTTTCCTTTCTCAACCCTTATTACTTGGTCTCTCTAGGCTTCCATCACCCATCTTCCCTCCCCGGCCCCCCATCAAGAACTCAACTGAAACACTTTGTTGAGATTCACTAGTAACGCCCTTCGGGCAAATTCAATCTTCTTTCTGAATTTGCTTAGGCTCTGAGACACACTGACACCTCTTTCTTTAAGAGTGGACCTGACACTACACTTCCCCAACCGACTTCCACACTCAGCCCTTTGCTCCCTCTCAGATCTACATCTCTAAACTTCCCGGCCTTGCACCTGTGCTCCCAACTCCTATTGTAACTGCCTTCCAGGAAACACTCTGCCTGACTTGCCTTTTAGCGCAAAGTCAACATTTTCAAACCAAATACAGCAGCATTCCTCTAACAGTGGTATCTGTGATTTTAAAAAAAGCCCCTTGGAATCCTGGAAGAACTCCTAGGTTTCTTCTTGCTGAGACAGCTTAGCAGTGAAAAAGGAAGAGGGGGATGAAGATTCTCTCACAGAGACTGAATTCCAGTCTTTTCACCATCCGACTTTGCTGGTGACGACCCTTCTCTCCCTCACCCTGCCTACTATAGCACAACTATGCCTTCCTACACAGCGAATATTTCCAAATACTACAAACACGCACCAAAATGTAGGGAGAGGGCCTAAGGTGCACATGCCCTTTATTCAGTGTGCTTAGCAGATCACACCACTGCGGCAATGGCGAAGGCAAAAGTCAGAACTTAGAGCAAAGACTTTCCGGTACTGATGTCAACCCCCGTTAACATCTACCGTCTAGTCTGTTCCTCCACTCCAGTTCTCCTGAGTAATCCGCCTCCCTCTGTCCTCTGCACCCCGAACACCATGCGCCCTCTCAAGGAGGCCTGGCTTCTCTTCTCCCTCTTCTGCCTCTGGGGAAAGCATACCACATAGGTTCTTTTCCTCTTTTTTCAAAATATGCTGCATATCTCTGTGAACAAAGCTAAAACCCTGACCACCAGCTCCCCCCAGCCTACTGCCCTGGGTTTTGTTCCTCAAACGCCTCAGCGGTTCTTCTGAACTCCACCCACTTGGGGTTACCCCGAGGCAGTAACATCAAAGTGAGCGCGTCAAAATACCGAGCACCACACAACGTGACAACACGAAAGTAAACTCTCCTCTAGCCCAGGTAACATTTCACTCCCAAATTTTGGGGTTCAAAACAAAAATCTGATTTACCCAGACATTTCTCCAGATAAATTCCATTTACTTCTATCATCTTTAAAACACTTAAGCAGCATCATTTATAATTCAACAGACACCTCCATCTTGGAAGAATGGGGGCACTCCTAAATTCTCAATCACTTGTTTTTCCACAATACCTCCATTTCCTAGTCTCCTAACCTCCACGGAATTGGCAGATACAATGCTAAGTGACATCAGAAAAAACCACACTAAGAATAGGCTGCCTAAATGGCAAAATGAGATTTAATAGGGGCAATTAATACAAAGGCCTTCATTTAGGTTTAAAATAAAATAAACCGCACAAGTACAGGATAATTGCTTAGCAGATTTGGGGAATCTGTTTAACAACAGATTAAAGAGAGTCAACAGCATTTACTGTTAACTGTAGCCATGGCAATGGGGGAGAGAGAGGGAGAACTGGGCACAAAATCTCACAAATGTCCTATATGTAATCGGCAAGTGTTACTTGAATATCAATCTGCCATGTAAATATAAGTCAGAGATTCACAGAATTAATTCAACAAAGTTTGATCTGAAAGGTACCCTAGCTGTGAAGACAAAATCACCGCATTTTATAGACGCAGCAACTGAGTCAATTTATCTTACTCCAATACTAAATCAAATCGTGAGGTCAGGATGTGGTAAATTCTGTTTCACCAAAATTCATTTCCTAACTACAGCTCCTCCCTACAATGGAACTGGCTGCCTCAGAAGGTGATGACTTCTCTGTCATTAGGGATATTTAAGCAGAGGCTTAAGGACCAACAGTCAGAGTTCGTGAAGTAAGGATATCTTGCATTAAATGAAAGGTTGGTCTAAAACTGTACAATACCAAGATTCTGTTATTTTACAAGTTACATCAAATATTAAACATCCATGTTCCATTTTTTGACTAATTCAACTTAACATCTTCAACGTACAGCAATTACAGCAACGCACCTCATTTCACAACTGCTTATTTATCTATTTCCTCCACTAAACTGTGAACGCCTTCAGATCAGAGACTGGTTTAGTGCTTGACGCATCTCTCCATCTCTAGATCCTGGCAAACAGGAGAGATGCAGTATGTGTGTTTCTTGCATAAATATCCAAGGAATATCTCTTTATCATGTGGGTGGTTCCTACCACTAGGGTCCTCAGTAAAATGGCCAAGCAAGCAAATTTTCTCTTTTACCCTTTATTATCTTCATTTTTGAAGTCCTTTCCCCATCTCTCAGTGCTCTCCTTTCAACTATCCAAAATTCCCACTTAGGTACCTCCCTCAAACCCATCTGACGTAAAATATCCCATTGTCCAGAATAACCTCTCTCCCCATCTAAACAGAGGGCAACCCAACACTGCCAAAATTACAAATGAAGGTTTGAGGGTTAAATGAGGTAATATACATAGAATACTCAGCATAGTGCCTGGCACATAATAAAATGCTCAAAAATTCATTTATGCATTCAGTCAGCAAGTATTTATTTAGCACCTACTATGTGCCAGTCCCTGTTCTAGATGCAGGACAGAGACTCAGAGCAGACCTTTATCCAGCTGTGGGAGGCAAGGCTGACACACAATACAAAGTAAACAGTGTGTGCATAAAGCAGCGAAGAGTCACGGTAGCGGGTTCTCTCTCTCCATTCACCGATGCCCATACAGAGTTTTTCAGCAATACGACTTAACAGCGGGAGAACCTCACTGTATTAGCACAAGAGGTACCTACAGGGAAGTATATTTTCAGTTCCAACCGAAATTAACAAACTGGTGGAACACATCCAGCGTGTATATTTATATGTAATGCCCCTCACTAATTAAGAATCACAGCTCATTAACCATAAAATGTTCATGCTGGAAGGAACCTGATACTTACCTGATCCTAACCCCTCATTTTGTGGACAAGGAAACAGAAATGCCCTAGGAGTCACATCAACATAATCTACACTGATTCTAAAAGCACGGAAAGAAAAAAAAGGGATTATTAGATAATCTTTGGTGATCTCCCCCAAGTAGATGACAAAAGACTCAAGCCTTTCCCTCTGTAAGCAAGCATGGCAGCAGGAGACATTGTGACTCAGCAGCACAGATACTGAGGTAGAGTGATGACGCCAAATGAGAGTGGCAGATCATTCTGGGCTAGCGGAATGAAGTATGAAAGAGAACTACGGTAAAGAGAAGGACCTGGGAACCACCCACCAGCTGCCTGAGAGGTAAGGGCAGAGGAGAGTTACCTGGGCCAACAAACAGCACAACCTACCGGAGCCCCAGGTGAAGAAGTGAGCCGACAGCACTGTGTGGTTAGTGATTTTACAAGCAGAGAGTAAGGCCTGAACACCCTTCACCAGACAAGAACAGTATGCACAACCTGTCTAGGAAGACACCTCCACCTTCGGGAGCACAGACGACGAGGACGGGAGCCCTCCTGTCAAGGACTTCACAATGTAACGTAGAGAACATGTCACACATAAAGGGTAATGCAGACCAAGTGCAGAGAGAGCACAGGAAAGGGAGCACCCTCAGAAATGACACCTAAACTGAGGCTTAAGGAAGGCTACAGAAGAAAGGATGGTGGTTCCAGGGAGATGATGAAGGTATTGTACACAGATTGAGGGATAAGGCAGTTAGGCAGTTAAATGTACACAGACCAAATAATCATCTTGATGTAAACAAAAACAAACTGATAAAACAACACTTATTCATGATAAAACAGCAAAGTCACTATACAAAAAAAGTCATCAGCTTTTCTTAAACCAGCAACAAATAGAAAACAAAAACTCAAAAATATATCATATACAAAGGCACCAAAAAAATCAAATACCTAGGAGTAAATCTAACAAAAGACAAGATCTCTACAATGACGCTTCAAAGCGTTACTTACTTGATGGAAACTATGAAGGATAGAAAATAAAATTTCTTTTTTATAAATGGAGGTACATGCCAGCCTCCTCCCTGGGAGATTCACCACTGTAAACATGTCAACATTCTGCAAAGTGATGTGCAGATTCAACAAAACCACATCAAGATCCTACAGGTTTGCACGGGCTGGGGGACTGACAAGCTGATGCTCAAATTTTTAGGGAAAAACGTCCCAAGAATAGCCAAAGCAACCTTGGAAAACAATGCTTTTGGAAGACCCACACTACTAGAGATCCAGTCCCATCATAACATTGTAACAATTAAGACGGTGTGGTTTTGGCCCAAAGACAAACAGACCAACGGAATAGAGATTCCAGACTCTCACATATAGCACTACTTGATGTATGATAAAGGTGACACTGTAGTGCACTGGGAAAAGGAAGATATTAGCAACAAATCGTGCTGGATCAACTGGGCAAAAATGAAAAAGAAATGCATCTCAAACACATCCCCTACCATAATCAAATCAACTCCAGATGGACCGACTGCACATCTCAGTGTGAAAGGTAAAAGACAAAGCCTTTTAGAGGAAAGAAGGGAAAAACATTTCAAGACACTGGGTCCAGAAAAATTAACCAAATAGGATTCAAAAACCACTAACTTTAATGAAACAAAACTCAAGTTGGACTACATTAAAGTTCATCAAAAAGACACCGTTTTTCTTTGCCATTTTGCTATTTGCGTCTTTTTTTTTCTTTTTTAGATTTGCCAAATATTTGTCCCTTTTAATAACGTGTTTGTTTATAAAGAACCAATTTGGGGTTTTATGGATCAAATCTATTTTTCTTAAATTTTTTTCTAAATCCCTATTTTCTTTGTATTACTTAGCTGTTCCTTCTCTAGCTTGATTTTCAATCTTCTTGCTTTCACATTTCCCTTTGGGAACTGTTGTAGCAAACTCCCACTAGTTTTGATACGTAGGGCTCTTGTTGCTGTTCATTTCTAAACGGTTTGTAATTACAACTGTGACTTATTCTTTAACCCAGGGATCATTCAGAATAATCATCTTCTATTTCCAAGTAGATATATTATTTGTTTTGGCTTTTTCTTGATTGTCGTTAACTTCTAATTTGGGTGTTCTTTATAAACCTCCATATCAATTTCCTAGAAAACTCAAGAAGTATTTTAAAAGAATACTGTTCATGATTACAAAATTAGAATACATTAAATCTTTATTATGTTACTCCGATACTGCTTTCTTAATCTACAAGCAGTGAATTTATCAACTTTTTCTTGTGTTTTTAACAGTTCTGGCCTTATATATTTTGATGCTACTTTATTAGTCGAATAAAGATTCATGACATGTCTTGAGAGAGGCTACCACATCAACATAAAATACACCCCTTTGAGGGGCCAGCTGGGTGGCACAGCGGTTAAGTGCACATGTTCTGCTTCGGCTGCCCGGGGTTCGCCAGCCCGGATCCCAGGTGTGGACACGGCACCGCTTGACAAGCCACTGTGGTAGGCGTCCCACATATAAAGTAGAGGAAGATGGGCACGGATGTTAGCTCAGGGCCAGGCTTCCTCAGCAAAAAGAGGAGGATTGGCAGCAGATGTTAGCTCAGGGCTAATCTTTCTCAAAAAAAAAACAAATACACCCCTTTCTTCCCTTTACTCCTTCTGTAGCTTGAATTTTATTTTGTCACATATTAATCTTACCATATCTACCTTTTTGTTTTGTCAGATTTGCGTGTTTCTATTACACTATTTTCAACCTTTGGATGTCACTTTAAGTAGCTCTTGAAAAAAACAGCTAGATCTGCAGGCCCCTCTGTGTATTATTAATGCAATCTAAGAATCTTTTTTTTTTTTTTTCCTGCTTTATCTCCCCAAATCCCCCCAATACAGAGTTGTATATCTTAGTTGCAGGTCCTTCTAGTTGTGGCATGTGGGACGCTGCCTCAATGTGGCCTGACGTGCGGTACCACGTCTGCGCCCAGGATCCGAACCAGCGAAACCCTGGCCACCGAAGCAGAGTGTGTGAACTTAACCGCTCGGCCGTGGGGCCAGCCCCAGAATCTGTCTTTTCAACAGCGGACTTCAATCCTTCATATCTACTAAGAATTCATCACTTACAACCGCCATATATTTAACATTAATTTTTTTAACTCAGATTTTATTTTTATCCCAGTTACATATGTATAGAGTTTAAGGTATCAAACAGTTCTACGAGACTGTTAGCCCCCCAAAAAAGGTAGCAGGTCCCCAACATTCACCCTTCCTATTTCCTGCTCTAAAGGAGCAATCACACTTTCTACACTCAATTGAGTCTCTTGCTGTCTAGCTTTATGTCATTTCCACCCCTCTGCAGAACAAAGAAAAAATTACTGAATTTAGCCAAAAGAAATATGATACCGTTAGAAATCTCCGAGATTCGGTGAACTACACAAGCTTTAATTTCTTGCCCTCCCTAGTCTGAAATGTTCATCCCCTTGTCAAACAATATGTCAAAGCAAGCAGTTCACTTCTGGTTGCCGTCTCCTGGAGGGTGATAGCTAAATCAAACCAACCAGGGAAAAGCCCAGCGAAAATGGAAGGACTTTTATACTATTTTACAATATTCATATTTTTATAAGATTTCTAACCACTGAATCCACAGCATCCCTTGGGGCGTGAGGATGCAAGCATCTAGAGCTGTCTGAACTCCTTCCAGACCTCAAGATCTAGATGTCCAGAGACTTAGCATTAGGACTGTACGGGTGTCAAGTTGCTGGCAGCACTGATGCTAGCACTGTGTTTAGTGAAGAAGGCCTCTAGTAGCAGGACGATTATTCAAAAATAAGGGTCTGACAGGGCTTGATGTTATCTATCCTTCAGAGAATTGAGGATACAGCAGAGACGCTGTACAGAATTATGTAGCATATGTATGTGCAGCACAGAATTATGACATCTAGACACAAGTCAGTAATTAGTAGGCCCTAGCTACAATCTAGAATGGTTCATAGGTGATTATACGCAGTTGCTCCAGGAGACTTTTTTCCCAGTTCCAGGATCTCTAAGCTAAAGTATATGCAAGCCCCCAATTGCTGAGAGCAGCTATTTCCTCAGGGCGCACCATCTGTTTGCAAGGAACAGCTAATTCTGAGCCTGGTGGTCCCTGAAGAGCATCCCCTAAGGTTTCTGCCTGACTCCGAAAACCCAATTTACTGAAACCCTCCCTCCCCTTCTCCCATGATAAGGAAAGGGACGCTGGACCTGACAAGACTTAAAGGACTGATGAGAAAGGGTGGAAGGGCCCTAGCCAAAAGAATATTTAGGTGGCTTTGTTTTTTTAAAAAAAGGATAAAGTGGAAGAAACCACTGTGATCTTGGAGAGAAAGACTACAGGAGAGAAGAAAGACTCCAGCTTATAAACCCATGAAAAACAAGAAGGAAGAGAACAAAAGTAAAATTTACCAAGCGAAGGGAGAAAGCAAAACAAGGGAAAGAAAAAAAACAGCATTTGTTCATAGGAAAGTGATCTACAGTGCTAACTGTGTTAATTGGCTTGTTTGCTTGTGCTTAGGGAAT